ACTGTCAGTGGCAGGGGGCTTCTTCCTGCTTTCCCTTTCGCCTCCCTGCATTGTGCCTACATATGCAAATTAACTGCCATCTTGTTGGCAGTTAACTGCCAATCTTAGTTGGCAGTTAATTTGCATATAGCCCTGATTAGCCAATGAAAAGGGTAGCGTCGTACGCCAATTACCATTTTTCTCTTTTATTAGTGTAGATAAAGACTAATGGCAAATTATATAGTTACTAAACAGAAAACAGTTTATTTTCACATCAAAAAATCTATTTTCTGCCCTGGGTGGTTTGGCTCAGTGGATAGAGCATCTGCCTATGGACCAAGGGGTCCTATGTTTGATTCTGGTCTAGGGCACATGCCCAGGTTGTGGGCTTGATCCCCAGTAGGGGGGTGCAGGAGGCAGCCAATAGATGATTCTCTCTCATTGTTGATGTTTCTCTCTCTCGCTCTCTCTCTCCCCCTCTCCCTTCTTCTCTGAAATCAATAAAAATATATTTTAAAAAAACAATATGTTCCCCCCTGTACTAGATAGACTTTAGCTTGAATCCTATAAACTTGACAAATGAATATTCATGTTTTACTTTCCCCTGAAGAATTGCAAAATCCCCAAACACACTCACCATGGCTCCTCTATAGTATGCTGTCGTGATGGTTCGAAATCTTTCCTGACCTGCTGTGTCCCTAAAATTTTAAACAAAGGAGAGAGCAATTTTAAAAGACTTCACCAGCAACACTGAGGAGAGATCATTCTGGTCTGCTCACAAATGCAGTGGTTTCAGGGGAGGGGAATAAGATACAAAGGGAGCCTGTGTGTGTCTGTGAGCTGGAGGCGGTGGTGGCCACGGGAGCCTGTCAAGAGCTCACAATGACTTGTGCGAAAAACTTGGACATTGATGATAAAAGCAGCAACAGGGAAATCCATGGTCTGCTAGGAACCGGCATGCTGAACTAGTCAAATACATATTGGGGGAGAACAGAATAGTTCCAAATTCTTGGACTCCTAGAGGTAGTTACAATCGTTTTAATAAATGCCTAATGATTATGGCATTTTGCTCTCTTGAGCGAAAGTCTGATTTCTGTACAAAGAAAGCAACTGGGCTGGACTTATTACTGTGTAAGTTCTGCTTAGCCAACCACACTAAATTGGGTCTCCTCGAGAACTTTCTCAGCAATGGAACCCGTAATTAAACGGGAACCTGGGTTTAACACATAATGGTTGACAATGTTTCCAAAGACTTTCCAATATGAACAACACTGCAAAGTTACATGAGCTTTCATATATTCTTGCTTTTTAGCTGATGGCGTACCATTAGAATACATTCTAAAAATCACAAATGTTTCCAATTACATTTATTGAAGTAAGTCCCTGTAAAGCAGATCAAATTTACTTGATATCTGGGAAAATCAATATTCCTAAATTTGCTACTTACCAGCAGAACTAATTCACTCCCTGTGCTACTAAGACAAACTAAATTGTACAATTTAACTGTAGGGAAGAAAGAGGCACTTGTGAAAATATACTAGAAATCTAATGCATACCAAACCAAAACAAGAGATGAAGGCCCAAGGGAAATATAATAAATTAAAAACATTAATAAATCCCTTAATAATAAATCTCTTAATATTTATGTAAACCTTAGAAGATAGTCTCAGATGATGCCCACCACAGCCCAGTGTGTGTTATTATCAGCATCCTATTCTGCAATAGAGGAAATAAGCTGGGGTGGGCTGTGGTCCCAATTCTGCCACTAACCAGCTCATACCCTTGAATGAGACTCAAGCCACCTACATCTTGGCTGTTTAGTGCAGGGCCAGGCCTTCCCTCAGTCATCTTACCCAACCCTTCTGTCACTGATCAGGATTAGCTATACAAGGCACTTATTTGGCACACGGCAAAGAAGTCATGGGGAAAATACAAGCCAAGCACCTTTAAGCAGACCAACATATTATTGATTCTAACACACTACTTGATTTAGAAACCGCTCTGCAGTGAGGCTGGAGGGGAAACCCTTCCATATTAAGTGCAGGCTGTGAAGACTAGATAGAGACCACTTGCTGCTGAGAGTACCCATAAGCAGTGCCCTGCTGTTATATTAAACTCTAATTAGCTGATCCCCCACAGGCGCCTAGAAACACTCCCTATTGTTATGATCAGGACATAAGCACAGAATCAAAAATTCTCTTTACTGTCTCCCTAAAACATTGTTTTATATCTTTAAAATATTTGGCTTCTTACTAAATACCAATAGATGAAAAGGGTAGCCTGTGGTAACCTTCACAATGTTTTCCAGTGACAGATACTGGGAATGACTATGCTAATACATAAAACTGACACGATGCTCCGGGAGGTTTGGATTGTCCTCAGAGCTTTATCACTAACCACTCTAAATCCTAGTTTCCTCCTTCGTAAAAGAGGTGCTAGTATATTTCAATACAATGTCCTCATTCTATTCCCATCCTGAGATTCAAGGAAGAAAATCAGCCTAAAAAATAAGTTCATATATATTACTTTACTATTTTACCCTGTATAGTCTGTGGAGCTCTCAATTTCTAAGCTATGTCTGCTACTGTCATCATCACACATTACACCAGTACACATCAAAAACCTTTCCCAAGGCTCCAATTCTACATGGCTCACCATGGAAGGCCCTGCACTGAAAGAAATTAAACCAGCTTATAGGAGGTTAAAAAAATAAATCTATAAGTTTCAGAGTTCGAGTAAAAAATACTCAACCTGGCAATCTAGAAGAACCATATTTATTCACCCCAGTTTGGCAGATGCTTCAGGAATGAACCAGTCAGATTTGGGTGGTCTTAAAGAGATCTTTGCCTTGCATATTGCAACATGAGAGATGAGAAGTATGACTTTTTTCTCCCTATTGCTAGTCTAGTGGTCCTCTTTTTTTTTTTTTTAATGAGAAGACATATACAAGTAAATGATAAAATATCAGAGCTGGAGGGGAACTCAGATATCATCCATTTAATTAATCAGTTTACAAATGAAGAAAAGTAGGCTCTAAGAAGGGAAGCAACTGGCTCCACGTCCTCAATTTAGAGGTAGTCCTGGCAAGAACCTAGATCTGCACTTCCTGTTTAGGGTTCCTACCACTTGACTACTAAGCCTTATCTGATTTCACAGCTGCAACAACTACAGTGAAAAAGTAACATACACTCTAGAATTTAGTTTCCTCCCCGATAAAATTAGCATTTGGGAAGAATGAGCTCTCAGATCTCTTCTGGCTGTGAGTTGGTGAGGATACCATTCCTTACCTGCCCACTCTTGGTGGAGAGACCTGTGAATACTTACCCATTTCCCCTTGATTCTGACAAAGAAAAGATGTTTCAGCTACCACAGGATAGCTCTAACTTATCACAATGCACATTTAATTCCCACATTCAATTCCTAAGTAGAAACTCTTACGTATATATATATATATATATTTACTTACCATATCTGAAGCTTAATTTTCTTTCCATCAAGTTCTATCGTTCTGATTTTAAAATCAATTCCTGCCAGAAAAAGAAAGACATGCTAAATTTCTTCAAATGTAATCCAAGTCTTATTAGAAAAAGAACAAAGATTTCTATTGAAAAAAAAAAGTTCTCCAACGCCCTGGAAAATGTGAACACAGAAGAGGGTGTGAATGGTATGTCTGCTTTGAATCCAGGCTGAAGAAAGGAATTACTCTGCAAAGAATTCCTACACATGTTAAATGCAATGTTTTATATGTGTCATTACTTTGACATAAATGGATGACATCCCTCAAAGTTACATAAGTTGGATAGATTGAGAACATGCCATATTTTCTACTTCCTGAAATACATATGAACAATGTTTCCTATCCCTCACCCCCCTATGCTTGGTCTGTCCCTAAAGACAGCCATGGGACCTCTTCACAATGTCTTCCTCATCTCCTCCTCTAGTTGTTTCTTTAGAATCTGCAACTGGCTAAGCAAAAAGCAAAACAAAAACCCCAAAACAAACAAACAAACAAACAAAAACCCTGTCTATTTGAGGGCAGGGATGGGAAAGCCTGTATATTTATTTTATACAGTTAAGTATTTTACATACATTTTAATAAATGTTCCCTGCATCTTACTGGCTAGAGCTGAAATAACTAAAATAGTTTTAGCCCTGGCTGCACTTTAGAATTACTTGGGAAACTTTAAAAGTTAACAACAAAAACCCCTTATAACTAGCCTGCTCCCTTCCCCAAATTCTGAGATTCTGACTTAAATGGCCAAGGGTAAGTCTGTGCACTAGTAATTATCAAAGCTCTCTAGGTAATTAATTCTAATATGAAGCCAAACTTAGAAAGCACTCAACTGAGCCTGCCAGGTAGCACGAGAGAGTCATTTGGGGCTCAGGTGGTCACTCCAAGTTCAACCCTTCCCTCACCTATTTCTTCCCCACTATAGGGCTCAATACTTATTTAGCAGTTTCAACTACAAGAACCACAAAGTCCTGGACAATTATCAGCATGCTCTGCCAGGAACAAGCTGCCACTCTTTCTCTAATGGGACCTGTTAGTGAATACAACTCGGTTGTAGTTTGCTAAATCTTCATCATCTGGCTACTCCAGCTTTATTTTAAAATTTTCTATTCTTTTGCATTCTATACAGAACCCTGGGAAGTGGTTTATAAGACATTTAAAAAACACACATGTCAATTATGTATCCTCTAAATTGACTTAAGCATTAACTGTAGTTATCTATGGGGTGGGGAGAGCCTTCAAGGGCTATGCTACACAACGTTTCCGTATACCAACATTGAGAACACCCCAAAAGGCCGCTTGCCAGCTCCAGCTTCATAGAATACCTAGGCTTAAACCAAGTGCGTTTTCCCCTTCTTCTTTGTGTGGCACTTTCCCCCGGGGACCCTTTTTAGGTGCTTTTGTGGATCTTGAAGTAGACAACTATCACACCCAGCTAATCTAGTAGGGCAACATCTCAATATTCGTTCCCTCACTAATAACCACCGCTACTGTTAGCGAGGACGATCTGAGACCCAGTATCCCAGGTTATCTGGCTCATGTTTCCTCCAGGTACCTCACTACTGCAGGGTCAGCAGCGGCAGGGGCAGCACTTAGCAAAACCGCATAGATATTATTGTTAGCATCACACAGATTTTACTGTGGTCCTCACTCATTTACGATTTAATACGCACTGATTTTTATTGTGATTTATCTTTTTACACATCTCTGAGTCCAGTGTAACAAAGACCCTCTGGGAATTCTCAGCTATCCTTTATGGTTTTTTGGTCCAGACATTAAGAACAGTGCCCACCAGGTGTTCAATTAATGTTTCTTGATATTAACATTTAAAAAATTCATAATTTTCCAAACTCATAGAAACAGAAAATAGGATGACAGTTCCCCCGGGGATGGAGAGAGGAGGAAAAGGGAGTAGTTCTTTAGTGGGCATACTGCTTTAGGATTTGCAAAAGATGAAAACTCTCTAAAGACTTGTTTGACAACAATGTGACCATATTTACTGAACTGTACACATACAAATATGGTTAAGATGATAAATTGTGTGTGTGTGTGTGTGTGTGTTTAAACCATAATAAAAAAAGAAGAAAAATCCATGACTTTTAAAATGTAGACTGTATAGCTGGAAAATTAACTTTCTCAATTGGAAGGCTACTATCCAACATTCCATCATTTAATAGTTCATTCACAGTTTACATAAGAGATGATGTATATCAAATGCCTGTCCATATGAATACTTTCCTTATTCTGGCTCATTGAGATTGTAACTCCTGTTCTTCCAATGTTGTTTTTGCCTGTAGTTGGGAGTCATGGGCAACTTTTCCACCTTCATTCAACAAAGCCATTTTGAAGCTCCCTTAAAGTCTCAGTTACTCTCATTCATTTAAAACATTTAGGAAACTTTCTACTGACCTAGCCTTTTGTTTTTTGTATTTGTTAGAAGGATTACCTTTCTGTTATCTGAGGAGGTTTTACCATTATCTGGGAAACTTAACCATCTTTTCACTATTCAGCTGTTTTCAATGTTTGTAAGAGTTGTGAACTGGTATTTAGCTTTTGTTTATTGCGCCTGTCGGGAGCCAGTTGATAGACAAATGCTGTAGAGCACAGTCAAATTAACACAACTTGAATTTCACTAAAAATGGAAAATGTTGTTTGTATTATTATTGAAAAGCACAGAACCTGGGAGTTAAAAGACCCAGGCTGTCTGTTAGGGCCTGTCATTAACAACTTTTCCGAGGATGATTAATTGCTCTGAATTTCTATATCCTCCTCATCCTTAAAAAAGATGGAGAGGATCTAACAGGTAAATTAGATAACGTGTCTGACTGTGCCGTGGGGACTCTGAAACTCCATATAAATGTAAGATATTACAGATTCTATTATCCTGCAGATCGTGTCACATCACACAAGGATTATAATAGCTTCCCAGGACCCTGTGCCCACCTCTCTCCCTGGTCTCATTCCCCTGCCCACCACCGTGAGAATAACATTCAGCAATCCCTGAGGTAATGCCACCTCACTACTTAAGGGGCTGTGGATCCAACTTCCAGCTCCCTCAGTCTGGCAACACAGCCTCTTCCACTGGATACACTGCTCTCCCTTAGGCCTCTGTTCCTCGCAGGGGCTTGCACCTGTCCTCCCCTCTGCGTGTGCGTGGCCACCTCACTGGGCAGCCTTCTCTGAGGATGCCTCTCCACCCATGCAGTTCTTCTCCCCCTCCCTCCTTCCTCAGCTGTCTACTCAGCCATGTCCATCGCTTCTCCCAGGCCTGCCTTTGGCCAGTAATTCAATCGGTGTTATCTGGCTTATTAACATATTGCTCTGAATTGGTCTCACATCAAGCAAGAGCTCGATCCTCTCTGCCAGTCAGGCTGCACACAGGAACATGTACACGGCAGATACTAAGTGAAAGGTTAAATATGCTTACAACATCGCATAAAGGTTAAATGCTGCTACGTGTGGAGAGAGCTAGGAAAACCATGGAAGTCCAATGTGTTCTTCGTTCACTACAGTAACAGGAGGACTGATGCTGAGACATCTTATTACGGTAAAAAAATGAAGATCTTTATATTGCACTTAATTCGACAACAATATCAGTAGAATATATAGATTAATAATCACTTTACTTTTTAAAGGAAAAATAACTTTCTGAGGCTACTCCAAGATTAAAAAAATAACCACTCATAAGAATAATAAGACAATTATATCAAATAGGATGCTTTCTGCTGCAACAGAAACCGCAAATCAAACTATCTTAAGGTAATTTGTTGACTCATATAACAAGCCCAGTGGTGAGCTGGGGTTTGGAGATGGCTCGGTCCAGTAGTTTCGGCTCATTTCTCTGCATCTCCTTTGGCTCTACCCTCTTGGGAGGATCAGTTGCATCCTCTGACTGATAGCAATTCCTGACCACAACAGCAATACCGAGAAGAAAAGAGATCATCTTCCTGTGTCTCTTTCTTAAAAGTGAAGAACTGTTTCCCCAAAGCCTCCAGCGACCTTTCCTTCAAGTCTCATTGTTGGATTTATAACCAGATTTATAACCACGGGCATGTCATGTTCTGGGGACTAAGGCTGAGTTCCTGAGCCAATCACTGCCTAGTCAGTTAGCAAGATTCAATTAATCAAAACCTATCCTAAATTTAGATTAATCAAGTCCCGTTCCCCAGAGCTGGGTCACTCCTCCAGATCCACAGGCTACTAAAATTAGGAGAGCAGAAAAGCTTTTGAATCAATCATAATATCTGTTAGACTAATACTCAAATCTATCTAACTAATACACCATATTCATAGCCATATGAAACAGACAAATCATAATAGCTATCCCTACTACCCTACCATGAATGTCATTAAATTTCGTGATAACTAGAGCACTTCTTGGAAGGTAATTTCGCCTAGTCTTCAGCCACCAAGCAGGAAATATGAAGATAAAAAAAGGACAATGGGCAACCCAAATAGCGAAGACGACATCTCTGTGGTTAAACTGTGATCACCCCCAGGAGAGTCCTTGAGCCCACAGTCCCAAAGGCCTGGCTTGTGCTCCAGCCCCAAATGATTAGACTGCAAAGGAGGGGCTGTCATATCAACAGCAGCAAGAGCTACATTACAGCCTATCCTGCAGTAAGAGAGTGCCTTTTTTTCCATTTTTTTTTTCATTTAAAAGGACTATATAACTCAAAAAACATAGCTTTGAAGGGCATTACATTTTGGGTCAAAATGCCCTTCCGTTCTTGATCGCCTTTTAGAAAGCATCACTGTCTTTTGGCAGCATATCATACAATAATTCATGTTCAAAATCATGACCTTGAGTCATCCCAACTCATGAACAATCCATGAGCCACCAGGCTACATGCAGCCTTCCCAGCTAGCACACAGCCCCACATCTACATGCAGGAGACAAGACTCCAACGTTGCTTCCATGTTTCTTGAATGTGCCCTATTGTTAATTTTTTTATGGCTGAAAGCAGCTGTGCCAGTTTTCTCATTGATATTTATCTAGTCAATAAAATAGGAAAT